GTTCTCCTCCCCGAGCTCCATCTGGTCGCCATCCAGGGCGGCGATCCCTTCCTCCTCCTCCTCTTCTTCCTCCTCCTCGTCGTCGCCGCCGGCCGCGGCCTCCTGCTCGAGGCCTGCTCCCGAGCGCCCGGCGGAATCCCCGCCCAGGTCTAGACTGCCGTTCCCGGGCTCCATGGCGGGGCGGCCCCCGGCCTCCTCGTCGTCCAACGCGGCCTGGAGACGCTCCATGAGCTCGGCCTTGAGGCCCTTGTCGGACAGGCGCCGCTTCTTGAGCTCCTCTTTCAGCTCCGACACCTTCAGCTTTTTCACATTAACAGGCGAGGAACTCATGGTGAGGCCCCGATTCACCGCTAGGCGCTGGCTCAAACTCGGCTCCGCTCACTCGGCCACTGGCGGCGGCTGCGGCTGCTCCTCGGCCCGGGCGGCGGCTGCGGCTGCGGCTAAAGGTGGGTTCGTGCTGCAGAGCGGACCCGCCTGGTCTCGAACGGCGCCAATTCCTTTCACCGAGTTCGCGAGGGAGACGCGAAGACTCGCCTGGCGCGAACGAGCACGTAACGTCGCCTCGCAGGGGCGGTGCCGCGCACGTAATATAGCTGCCCCGCCCCTGCGCCGGCGGAGCGCCCGCGCTCGCCCCCCCCCCGCCCACGCCATGCTCCCCCGCCCCCACCCGAACCGCGGGCCGGGAGCGCGGCGCCGCGCACTGAGCTTCCAATTGGGGCCGAGGAAACGGAGGAGGAGGAGGAAACCGCCTTCAGTTAAACCGACCCGCTGCAACATCTATTGGCCTTTCCAGTTCTTTGGTGGCGATACTCGTTTTGCTGTTTGCCTTCCAGCCCGGAGGCTGCTTCTGTCCAAATCCTTTTAGTCCTCACCTTGGCATCTTCAGCTCGAATCCGCCACGTTTCCTTTTAAATTGGGCTTATCTATTTCTCCAGCAATTTGTTTAAAACTCCTCAAAATTTTATTTCAGTTTTGATTTGTACAAGTTGGCAATTACTAAGGAAGGAGATTTTCTTCCGCTTAATATTTGGCTTAAGCTTTTCTAGGTCCTGTCTTGCGAATTGAATTTTAAGCTCGGGAAGGGCCTTTCTTTTGTCTCTCCCGCAATCCCTGATGCGGGGCTTGGGAGATAGAGACTTGCTTTGGGAGCGTGTTCTCCGCTCCATACTGCAGAGCGTACTTTAAAGGCCTTGTCATGGCACTCATTGCCGAAGAAGTTAATTAACCCTCCGAATTGCATTTGTGAGTTTTCTCTACCTACCAAAAATATCTGTAAGATTCGTACCGCCCAATTTAGGACCTGGTCATCCAATTATGGAGTCCCGTAGCTAACGATGAGGATGAGACCCCGCTAGATCATACACTGATTCTGTCCCTATTCCTGTAGAAATACTGTTGGCCCAATCATGCTGAAACCCCAGTAAAAGTTCATGAGAAAAAAAGGGCTGGGATTTTGTAAAAAGAAAAATAATCACTCTCAAAAAGAAATGTTATTTTGGTGTATCTTAGAAGTTTAATTTTTCTCTTTATTAACTAAAAGGTGTTATGTTCTTCAAGTTTTAGATAGCGATGCCGGAATTTAGATTTGTGATAGAAGTGAACATCTTAAACCCCAGAGAATCAGCGAGTGGCTAGCCAGTGTTCTAGTCTAGTTCATCCCTGACTAAGGTGGTCAGCTATACACACTATTTGGTGTTTTAGCTGGCATAATAATGCTGCCCCAGTTTTAGTTTGAAATTTGGAAAAACACACACAAATTTGAACTTTCTCCCTTTGGCTAGTATTTAACCGATTAAAAATTTTTATTTTAAAAGTTCAATAGCTTTTAAGAATCATGTATTTTACCATGCAGTCGTATATTAAGATGAAATATAATTTGAGTTGAAATTAATGGTGTACAGTACTAGTAACGCTAAGTTCAAGTTAATGGACAGGGAAAGGATAGCGCCCAAAATAGGAACTTCCTAATAGTGCCAAAAACTCATTTATCCTTTGGTAATAATGTCCTTGGAGCTTATAAACAAGTTCTTTGCCCTTGTTCAAAATGGGAAGAGAGTTACAAGGAGTTTACATGTTCCCTAACTGGATAATTAGTCCCCTAACAAATCAGTTAAATATAGGTATTATAATGGTCATTTAAGTTTATGTATCTTTAGGTATTATATACATTTTAAAATATCAGTGATATGAAAACAATTTTCTATTTAACTGGAAAAAATAAACTATGAATATAAAGTTTGTATATCTAAATATCGATTTAAGAAAATTGTTCTTGGTATGTTAATTCAGCTGTAATAATAAACATGATATAGAACTTTAGATGAATATGAGAAATTTCCATGGCTTTGTCTCAGAGAGCTTTGTGGACTGAGAGCCCAGTGGAGCCTGGAGATCATCTTGGGCCTTTATTTTATGGCTCAGGAAGCTGAGGCCCTCCCTCCCACTCCAGTGTTCTTTCATTGGGCCTTCTTGGACATTTGAAAGAAAAATATTTTTAGTAAATGCTCAAAGAGCCACCGTCTTACTATGTCCTTTTTACAAACAGGTGAAACCTACCATTCAATATTTCACTTTACCACTTGAAAGTACAAATAGTGACTTAATTTTACTAATCGTTTTCTCTTCTTATACTTTTAATGCTGTCATGATAGTCCTGTTCTACAGAGACCAATAAAAGTTTAGGTCACTTTATCCAAATTGCTGAGGGACCTATAAGAATCTCAAAAGTTCCCCCTTTTTGAAATCCTGGAGACTACAAAGAACACAGAGTGGAAAAGAGGGAAAATTAATTCTTAGTAGCAAAATATGATTAGTGAATTACCCATTGGGTAATAGACCTATGACAGGTCATTACAGAGTTAGGGGCTCAGAATACAGAGCTTATATTTTGAGGTCAAAGCAAAGGCACATACCTAAATGTTATAGTTTGTCACACAATTCACTCAGTAAACATTTTTTAGCACCTTTTCTAAGACAGGCACTGGTCTTACTAGGAATACAGCAGTGAATTATGTGATTGTGCCTTCATTCTCTCAGGGAGAGTTAGCTAATAAATAAAACAGAGATGGTAACAAGACTGCAGGGACATGTAAAACAGGAGAGGGGCAGTGTGTGCTGGGTTTGGGGGAGCTTTTCAGTTATAAATGGGGTGGTCAGGGAATCCTAAGGAGCAAGGTAACATTTGAGCAAGTATGTAGAAGAGGTGGTAGGAACAGTAAATAGGCCTGAGGAGAAAGATCGGCAGTGAGATCTGGCAGCTTCAAGACAGGAAAAGAGGCACAGATTGCCAGCAGCCTTGCTGGTGGTTTTGTAAGGACTTTGGCTTTTGCATCCATTGAGAAGACATTGAAGGGTTGTTAGTGAAGTGAACTGACCAGAATGCTAAATTCAATGGACTCAAGATGCTATTCCACTTAACTCTTTGTTTTTTTTGGTATATACAATCAATCCCAATTTAATTTCATAAAGGAAGCAAGAAATACACTGAGATACATTTCCAGTCTTCTTACAAAAATGTGAGAAGTTACAAGTACCGCCAAATTATTATATATTAAAAGTGCACTTTCAAGTAGACAAACAGGAAAGCCCAATTGGAAGGGAGGATGTTTCAAATTCTGGTTAAAAGTACAAGCTTAAAAATCAGACAGACCTCAGTTGCAGTTCCAGCTAGACCACATAGTAGTTATGTGATCTTGCACAAGCTGTTTATGTCTCTATGATATATATCTGATGTATGATATACGTATAGTGTATCTATGTCTATGGTGTATATGTATATGATATATGTATGATATATATGAGAGTACTCCTTTATAAAATGATACCTGCCTCATGAGATTGTTGGGAAAATTCAGAGAGATAATGAATATAAACTCTGAGTACAGGCTGGACATAGTAAGAGCTTAGTAAATATTAGTGTTTATTAGGTAGGTCGAGCAATTTAATGAACTTAAGAAGATCTAGAATTGGATTGTTAAATCTCATTTAGGAAATTATGACTATTTTTTAATCTGTCAATGAATTGTTCATGGTGAGATGTCAGTCTGGGAAAAAGTGAAATGCAACGTGGACGGGAGAGAGCAGGCTTCAATTCTATGCCCGGCACTGCCGCAATAACCAGCTGTGTGTCCTCCAGCAAATTGCACCATCTCTCTGGATGTTCGTTTTCTCATCTATAAACGAAGCAGAGCAGACTTGAACATTTGTAGAGTCCCTCCAGGGAGAACCTTCTATGAGGTTCCTCTATGCTGACTCCAGACTATAAATGGAGACGCATTGTTAAACTTTGAAATATTGGTTATTCATATTCAGGTTTTATTTGTTGCATTTAAAACTTTGCATTAGAGTCTCAAAGAATTTCATAATTAGTAGACATGAAATTTGAACTCATTTTACATTTTTTGTTACGAAAAACTCCCATTTACATTAGACTTAGATACCACAACAGGCTAAAAGTTTTAAATTAAATGGCTTCTGTTTAAATCATCTTGTCTTTGATGTTAGGAATCTCTTCACATAAACTATGTAACTTCTGTAGAATAAGATGTGCCCATTAGAAAGTGGCAGGAGGGGGAGGATATAGTTCAGTGGTAGAATGCCTGCTTAGCATGCACAAGGTCCTGGGTTCAATTCCCCAGGACCTCCATTTAAATAAATAAACAAACAAACTTAATTACCTCCCCTACCAAAAAATAATAAATATATTTTAAAAAGGAAAAAAAGACAGTTGCAGGAAAACCAGAATAATGTAGTTAATAGTAAGATATTAGGGCTTTTCTGATAATTAAAATATTTACCAGGTGAAGACTGATTTAACACTTACCAAAACTTATCTTACATAGAGGCAGGTCAAGTGATGAGTTTATAAAAAGTGTACACTATCACATATTACCAGTGACTAGCCAGAAAAAGATGAAGAAAATATTTAGACCATCTTGAGTCACATAGCCAAGAATGAGATGAAAGATTAAAGTGATTATGACCTCATAAGCTCTCACCTTCTACCTGCAACATGATAATTTGTCTCAAAGTTAGTCCAAGTTCCCTAAGGGCAGAGAGTGAGACACACTTGACTTTTCCAGCACCCGTGCAGTGTCTTCCATCAGCATTTGCCAAGAGCTTGGCACTGAACTGGGAAACAAGATGGGGGCTCAGAAATGAAAAATATCCTCTAAAAATATGTGAACTGTCCTGCAACCCTGACATGAACTGGAGAATTCTTGATTTTAAGACAGAAACAGACTCACAGACATAGAGAACAAACTTATGGTTACTAAGGGGGTGGGAAGGGATAAATTGGGAATTCGAAATTTGCCCCTCTTGGGAAGTGATGGAAATGTTAGCTATATTGATTGTGGTGGTGGTTTCATGGGTATATACATCTATCAAAATTCATCAAATTGTGCATCTGAAATATGTGTAGTTTACTGTACAGGA